TTATCCAGCCACATATCAACCAATGATTCTCATCCGATTACCATCATACTCTCGTCAAGGATCTTGCAAACCAAGGCATTGCATTTCACTTTAATCCACCTTATGCACCATCATTCGGCGGCATTTGGGAGTCGAACATCAGAAGAGTCAAGCAACATCTCTACAGAATAGTCAATGGTGATCAATCAACAACTTAACGATTCGTTGGCATCATATTTAAAATTGAACTTCAAAGTGTCTGATTTTGAGTTCCAGAAAATGCCTAATGTTTTGATTGTTTTGTCAGGATTCATTGACAGCGGTATGGATAGCTCTCGATCTTCAGCTGGAACAGCTTCTAGCAACTCGTTGGTATTACTAGCCCATTTTTTCACGTCAAAACAAGCTGATTTGAAGATGTTGATGATTTCCTTTTGTAAGCGAAGAGCTGATGGTATATCATGTGAACCGGAAATGACATCATCAACATAAATATCTCTTTTGATTATTTCAGCTGCTGCAGGATGATCAGCTTGGTTTTCCTCAGCTAAAGTTCGCACAGATTGGATGGCTGCACATGGTGCATAGTTCGTTCCGAATGTTAGTCGTGTCATGCCGTATTCCTTAATCTGTTCAGATGGATTTTCACGCCATAGAATACGATGAAAAGTTATGTCGTCATCATGCAAACGAATTTGTCGGTACATTTGTTTGATGTCGCCCATGAAAACGATTTTATGGAATCGCCAATTGAGCAAGATAGCAATCAAATCATTTTGAAGAGCTGGACCGGGAAAAACGACATTGTTCAATGAATTTCCGTTGGATGATGGCTTGGACGCATTGAAGACAACACGAACAGGAGTTGAGGTGCTCTTTTCGTTAATAACTGCATGATGAGGAAGATAGAAGCAGTTATACACTGGATTATTGGATATACACTGGTGAACCTTTTTCATCGAAGGATAAGCAATCGCTTTCGGTATTTGAGAGTTGAGTCATATGATTGCTATCCAAGTATCCCTTGATTACGTTCACATAATCTTGTTTGAATTTTTCATTTCGAGCAAAACGGCGTTCAAGTTGTAGAAATTGCTGAAGAGCTGTGGCACGAGATTCGCCTAGAACTGCGGTTGAATCAAACGATGTGCGAAATGGTAATTTGACTATGTAATGGCCGTCAGAATCTCTTTTGGTATGCTCTTTGTAGAAATCATAGCAAAATTGCTCGTCTTTGGTGAACATACGTTCCTCAGGTAGCTCATCAGCTTCGAAGAACTTGTTCAGCAATGTGTCAATGGTTGAAATGTTGATTGAAACTGAACTCACGTTTTCTCTGTTTTTGTTCGTTGCTCCAAACAGAATCCATCCTAACTCGGTGTCTTGGGCTACAGGTGTGCCCGGTGGACCTCTTCGGATGTTGGGGCGGATAATTTGTGCATGGATCTCGGCATCTAGAATGAGATCGATTGGACTTTGGATGTTGAATTTTGGGTCGGCCAGTTCAATGTCTCTAATGTGTGGCCAATCGGCATAGAATAACTCTCTAGATGGCAATTGTGTGATCAACGATTTCATCACTAGAGCGTCGATTTGTGTTGTGAATTTTGAATCCATTGAGCTGATGATAAAAGATGCATACCCATTGCTCGAAGATTGAGCATTATCCAAGTGTGTTACTTCGGTTTTACATCTTGTTTTC